TCGTTATTATAAAAAAGATCCTTCCCATAACTTTGGTTAATCAACACAAATTATCCATCTGACGGAAGTAAAAATCCTTTAGTGGGTCTCCTGTGGTTGCAAAGAAAGAGTCACAAAGTGCTTCCACCTGCTTCTCAACCCAGCAGCTGTAGCCTCAACACTCCAGGGCTGCAAGGGTCTTCTGACAGCCTGTGCTCACAGGTGCTCCTCTTCTTCTAGCACCAGCTCAGTGACTCTGCAGTAGGAATTTTACATCACCACGGTGTTGAGGTGAAAGCTCCAGTGCCCTTATTTCAAAGGAAAATTTGGTCAGCTTGAAAAAATAAAAACTAATCAGAATGCAGCCATCCATTGGCTAGGAGCACATGCTCCGTCAAACAAAAGCTGTAGTCAAAAGTTGTTTTGTTTTGTTTTTTTGGCATCTACATAGCAAATTCAACTTCATGTTTCTGCCTACATTTTGTTATGTGGACTCCTAATCTCAAAAAGCAATTTATAAAATGTCATAAGCTGCCATACAATACTTGGAGAAAAGTAGAAAATAATGTAAGTAATAGTAATATAATTCAACTGCTCAATAAATATATATTGAATATTAAGGCCTAAATGTCAGGAAAATATGCCAGGTACTGGAGATACAATGGTTAGCAAAACACAGGCAGACCCCCCACCTTTAAAGTGCTTATTAAATTTTCATTGCATTGAGCACTTCCAAGGAATTCTCACAGACATTTCTTTTGCTCTATTTTCTTCTTCACAATAACCATGTCAGAGACATGTCCAGGTCCATTTTACGGACAAGAAATTAAAGACTCAAAGATGTTAAGTGATTTGCTTAGGAAAATAGAGCTAGTTGGCCACACAGTGAGGGATTAAACATAAAATTTCTGACTGAAAATTCAGGGCTCTTACCACTATAACAGCATTTCCTAAGGGTGTCTTATGGAATACTAATTTTCCAAGCAAAATAGTGTCTTTAATTAGAAAGACTGAAAAAACTTTCTATATAATGTCTTCTCTTATAGACTCATATAGAAAATTGACAAATTACAGGCTCTGAGAAAAACAACATTAAACAAATTTGTTTATCTTTGTGTAACCCCTGGTTTCCCAAATTTATTTGATCCTAAAACCCACTCTCAGGGAAAAACAATGAATCCACTGTAACTCAGAAACTGATGGTAATCTAGCGAGTTGGAAAGAAGGGTAGTAGGGTAGGCTACTGGAACAATGTGTATGTTGCAAAGGTACATAGCATGTTTTTAAATCCATGCATGACAATCAATGTGGGATTGTAAAAGACCATAAGACTTTTTTTCTTGCTAGCACTTATGAAAATATAGACAGATGTAAATTTTGAGGGAATGAGGATTATGTACATTATCGCAATGATGGAAAATTCAGTGCACCAACAAGAAAACGGAACAGCGTCTCCCACCTTATTTCTTAGCTACCTCCAGCACCTGATCAGGATTAAGAGGACTAAAAGTTCCCCAAACCACTCCTTGGATAAATGGCTGTTTCTAGGCTTGGCACTGGAAATACACAAAATGAGCCTGGGGTTTCTTCTAGTAAAACAACATAAAGAAGTGTGCATACACAAAAAAATCAGCATTGAAGGCATGTCAAAGGTACACAAAGAGTCAACTGAAAGAACCCCAACGACCAAAGCTCGAACAATTTAAGCAATAAATATGGTAGCATTGAATTACAATCCCAAATAAATACTAGTGAGTCTATACAGATCTAAATAAATGATTGCATAAATAAACAGGAGAGAAGAGACAAATGCAGAAGAATTCTAAGTGACTGCTTTTCAAAGATTTTGAAAGAACAGAGTATGGAAAAGGAGAAAATACATTGAGATTTAATGCTATAACTAGTACTCAAACAGTATTTTTCACTTTATGTTTCTGTGTGGGAGCAAACTGTTGAAATCTTTACTTAATGTATGCTAAACTGATCTTCTGTATATAAAGAGAATCGAAAATGAATCTTGATGTGAATGGAAGGGGAGAGTGTGGGGAGCAACTCGGACTAGACTAAGTTACTGGAATTAAGACTTATTCTATGCATCTGCTCTCCCACAATATGGCACTGAGAAGGGAGAAACAGCTTCTACCCAGCTGCCTCTCACCAACTTGACAAGCTGTAGGACCTACTCCTGATTGGAGGAGAGCAGCGTAC